TCCTTCCTTCCTTCCTTCCTTCCTTCCTTCCTTCCTTCCTTCCTTCCTTCCTTCCTCTCATGGTTAAGACTGGTTTTGAAATGAGATCTCCTCCTCCTCCTCCTCCCCCCTTCTTCTTCTCCCTTCCTCCTCCTCTTTCTCTTCTTCCTCTTCCTTCTCCTCTCTTCATCCTCCTCTTCTTCTTCCTTCCTTCTTCCCTTCTCCTCATGGTTAAAACTGCTTTTGAAATGAGAGCTTCTCCTTCTTTGTCTCTGTCTTCCTCCTCCTCCTCCTCCTCCTCTTCTCCTCCTCCTCCTTCCTCTCCTCCTCCTCCCCCCTCCTCTTGCAAACACATTGAATTCTGGACCACATCTTCATCTGCAACCTCCAAGCGAAGACCACCGGGCCGTTTCCCACTGGATCTCCCTCTGATCTAAAACACGGGTCGCCCCCTTAACTCAGCCCAGCCCCCAAGGCAGCGCGAGGCTGTAATTCAATTCACGGGCCGCCTTTTCTTTTTCCAAGGTTGAGCCCCGCCAACCTGCAGCAGGCTACGAGGGAACCACCATTGCGATATTTAATACAGCAACATGTGGTGTCGTTTAGGAAGTTTAAAGAAAAATGTTTCAGATCTTGCCGTGAAGCCTAAAGGGAGGGGTTAATTCCGAATTGGATTTGTACCTGAGCCTGTCTAAATTGTACGCGTCCAAAAAATGGAGGCATAACATTTCTATGGTGTACAAATACAGCCAAATTCTGGTCATGGCTCTAGAACCTAGGTGGGATTTAATGGATAAGGTGCGTGCAAGGAGGCTTGAATCATCAGATACTCTGCTTTTCTAAAGCCTTGAGTAGCGAGGGAGTTGAAGTCCCCACGTCTTAAAGTTCCCAAGCTTGAGAAACACCGGTATAGATAAATGCTGGAGATGATGGATCAGGCCCTTGGAGTTTTTCCCCTTGGTTTTCACGTTTTTCCTATTGTGGTTTTATTATTGCTGTGAGCCCACCCCTCTGGCTGAATGGATCCACGGCTGGTCAACTCAGTCCCAGCAGGCTCAGTTTGCAGGCTGTTTGGTTATGGATTCGATTTTTTTCAGCCCCCACGCCACCCTCCCGCAAGTCTGGGCAGCTTATAATTGGCCAGAAGCATAAAAACAACATTAAAAATTCAGGAAGACGGGCGGCGACACATTTGAAATATCAATCAATCAATCAATCAAATTAATTAATTAATAACCCCAACCAACACCCAGAACAGAATAACCAAGGTCTACCATCGTGTATTCCGTATGCAAGATCTTTCATTTCTGGATGGGCTCATTCCCACGTTCTGACCCCACAGCCCAGGTTTTCAGCCTAGCCGAGTCGGGGCCATCCAAATTTTGGGGGTAGAGTAGAGATTAGATGCCCTATCAAGCCATTAAACCTGGTTTGCAATCAGCACTGGTCCAGTTTCTTGGGAGCAACTCCATTCCCCCCTCGGCCACAGAACTGATGCTCGAGTGATTTGGGGCCAGCTCTTCCTAGTCTGACCTACCTCACAGGGTGGTTGTTACGGCGAAAAAGAGGAAAAGGAAGCCATGCCTTGAGCTCCTGTTACAAAAGGCAGAGTGTAAGTCTGATAGGGTATTTATTTGTTTGCTTGGGCAGATGTGGGGTGGTTGCGTGATTTTATATGGTGGTAAAGTCTGGATGAAGTTGTCAGTGTAGGAATAGCATAAATCAGTAAGATCAAGGGGGGAAAACCAGACCAACGCGATAGCCCTAACCCAAACTCAGCTCTAGATATGAAGAATAGGGGTGTGTTCATTCAATCACAACAGACTTCCCAACAACTGGCATCTTTTCCTCGTTTTATTAAGTTAGATATGTTTTGTAAACGCCTTTGGAAATCCTTAAATTATTTCTGTTAGTTGGACAGGAAGGCATTATTGAAGAGGCATCAGGAGAAATATATACATTTATAGAGATATAAAAATAAAAAGCGACTGCAAAATCCACCCCTCTCCAAGTGGCCAAGTTTGAAAAACACCGCTTTATTGTAACATATAAAAAACCAAAAATACTTTCATTAGTGTTCAGCAAGAGCAGAGCTATAACGACAGATCTAAGATCCCAAGAGTCATTCGGTATTCTCTAATCACCCCACGTCTGACCACCGAACCATCTTCCGCCACATTTGTACACTTACATCTTAACTTCAACTTTCCGACCCTACAATGATGCTCGACGAACCTACCAGTTTATTCAGGGCAACGAATTGTTCAGACAGGCCTTGTCTAGATCACAACGTTTAACAGCCAAAGTCCAAAGCGTAATTTGAATCCAGCATACAAAGAAGATGTGCAAATTTTGCCTCGGGGTTTAGAGGAGAACCGACCAGAAGACCAGTCACTACCGTCTGTGATCGTATCCGGAGGAAGATGTAAAGAACGAGAACCGACTAGGGTTCACCTCTGTGCCCGAAAGACACAATGGTGGTTTGTAGTCCCATCTAGAGTAGATCAGAGTCGGATCAATAATTTGGTGTTGCATCAGACACGACCCTATTAAAAACCTGTCCAGTTATTAACCCTTCCTCTGCAACAGCTTAGCTTCAAATATCTATAAAAAACTCAAATTGGACGCATTCAAGTTGGGTCAACACGGTGGTCTTGCTTTAGACAAGGACACCAGGGAAGAAACGGTACATGTATGACCAGCGTGACTCTTCACGTGAGGGAAAACATGTATGGCCTTTGGTTAAACGCCAACCTGCGCGGAGAGAAGCTCATTCCTTGAAACGAGAATAGTAATCTCAGCTTCTACAAGCAGGCTGTAACTGATTTACCTCTGAAGAATACGTCTTACGGTTTCTCCCATGACCCTAGCATTAAACCTTGCATACTTTCTAGAGCTACAACAGCCACTTCAGTTGAATACACCCCAACCCAACCCTCTGAGGTCCTGAATAATGAGATTTGGGAGAAGTCCAACTAAGTTGCGTTGGCCAAAGAGAAAACCTCAGCTTAAAACAGGCCCTGGAAGACGCGACAAGGTGCAAAAATCAGTGTTTGGCGAAGGCTGTCCCTCCGTCAGACTTCCGCACTGTCTAATCCGTGCAACAGTTTGCATCTTTTCCTTCTGGATATTTTTGGGGGCCCTAATCTAAACCACCTGGAGAAGGGTGTAGGGCTTGAGCACGCGCGCTCCATGTGAGAAACGGAAGAGAAGGAATGCAACAGAGTGCAGCCATCTCCAGAACTTCAGCTCCTTGGCGACCAGCCTTGTCGATGTTCCACTCGTGGATTTCCCAGTCTTGTCCATATGTCAGCTTGGTTTTAAAAAAAACCACCCACCGCAGCTGAAGGACTTTATTGAAAAAAGGCCCGGCCTCCGATGCATACGAGCGTGTTTCCTACCGCCCCCAAGCCATGCAAAACGTTCAGTGCAAAGACTCGTGGCTGGGTTGAGATTCTTTTACTGGTTTTGGGTGCCGTTAAGTCTTTAAGGCGGGATAATTGTGTCACTTAGGCTGGGGGCATCCACTGTGACTCTCACAGGCTCCAAAGTGATGGGCGGTCTGAGCCCCACCGCTTTTTCGTGTACATACAATACGCACAACGCACCTTACGCAGAGGGGAACCTCCGATCATCCGGTCTGCATCACCGTGTTGAAGCCGTTGCTGCGGACGTCCTATGGAGAAAGCGGGCACGACGCTCAACGTTGGGCGGACAATTCAAACTATGCCATATATATATATATATATATTCCGAGAACGATTTACTTCTTTAACCGTTTCTGTGCAATTGAGCCCTCTCTAAGCAACAGTCTGCCATCCCCAAGCAACATTTCTAGCGACTTGTCTAATTCCTTCTCTGTGCTTCGATTTCTCCAGTCTTAAATACCAAAAAAAGGTTTAGAACTGCATTTCCTACGGCTCACCAAGGCATTGTTTTAAGATCGTTCCGAGTAAGAATTTCTCCAAAATTCTGACTTTCTGATCGTGCCAAAAGATTCATTTGGATTTGTCTTCCTTTCAAAAGCTTTAAAAAACAAAAAAACCCAGCACAACGAAGATCAAATCAGGGTTGCACACAGTGCTGGTCTGCCTCTCTCTCTTTTTGCTGCTTCTAACGGAGGTCTGGATTTTTGCAGCCCAAATATGCTCAAAATCCCAGTCTTTAAAAGCAGTAAATACACTAGCAATGAGATTGTGGCGTGGCATATCCAGAGTTTTCTTCAGTTCCTCAGTTGCACAATGGCTGGCAATTTTAAGTCAATTTTCCTTCTTGTTTCCATGCATTCACTTCCTGTCCCATCTGGAAAAACACCCCAGGCATTATACAGGCAAACTCTTCATTTAGAAAGCCTTAGTGTGAATTTCATAGACCGTTTTTACAGAATGTTTTGGCGGGGGGGGGAGAAGACATTTGGTCCAAGACAACTGTTGTTTTTTCCCCTCAAAAGCTAACTTTAAAATGGTTTAGCCGGCATGATTCTTACAAAACATTCCTCCACATTCTGGGGGTCACATCTATATGTTAATCCAGACTCTGACCCCATCATTGATATCTTGGGCTTTCTAGCAAAATGCTATGGATGAAATTAACACTTAGGCTCCTCAAACTGGCAAGGAGCTTCTTGAATAATATTCTTTTCCAAGGAAACGTATGCTTAAGCGTCCGGTCAACAACAGAGAAATCTGCAAAAACGTATAGAAAGGAATAGTTTGGGGGGTGGGTTTTAAATAGCAAACTACTAAGCAAGACTTCATGATTAACATTGCATTTAAGTGCTACATAAATAAGGCTGGATCCAAGGAGGACCAGTATCCAACCCTCATTTTAACCTCTTCAGATGAGGTTCTCTCTCCCAACCGGTTCTTGGAACATGAAAAACACTTGCATGCCCTGCAATCAAGTTGGCAAGAGAAGATCGTAACCCTGCTGACGTTCCAGAGATGCCTTCAGCCAGATGATGACTAAGCTTGAAAAGGTGTCTCCAAGAGGCAGTCCTAAACTGTAGGGTGAGGTGTAGCCTAACCTGACCTCTGGGAGGTCTAGGACAAGTTCTCGGAATACATCACGCCCGGGTTGTTCTCCTCGCACAAGGCGAGTTGCACGCTGGAGGCAAACCACCTCTTGGCAGACCCCAGCCGGTAGTTCAGCGTGGTCCGGTAAAGGTTTTTGGCCCGTTTGGGGAAAATGATGGTGGTGCTCCGAAACCTGAGGGGCTTCTGGCGAGGCTCCAAAAGCAGCTGAGACTTGTAGCTGCGCCAAGTGCAGTTGGGGGCCACAACGACAGTCTCTCGGTACGTCGTGATGGTGGGCATGGGGTGGTAGAAGATGTCGTCCCGGTAATGCCTCTCCGAGCCGTACTTGATCTCCGAATTGCATCTGTGCCAGGGAAACAGGAAGCGAGAGGGCCAGTAGGAGACGAATCCTGGTGGCTTTAAGCCAGCATCCGTCTACTGCTGGAACGTCACTGGTTATGGCAATCAAGGTTTCCCGTTGAACTCTGACAACTGCACCGACCCCAAGATTCCCTCAAAACTCAACCCCCTGAGAATCTCTTCAGTTGGGGGCCTGCCCGTGTGGTAGGCCACAACCCTAAATTTCTCTGGCTTGCAAGAGCCAACCCGCCTATTTTTCTGAAAAATGATGATTTCTGCTTGCCTTTGCTATCCTGTTTCTCAGTCCTTGACCACAGTAATATCCTGAAAGATTGTCTAGGGCAGTGTTTCTCAACCGCAGCAACTTTAAGACGTGTGGACTTCAACTCCCAGAATTCCCCAGCCAGCCATGCTGAGATCGGAAGAGCGTC